TTTTAGTCTTCTATGTATACAGTTGTTTTTCATGTACAGACTTCCGGATAATCTGTGATTTTTTTGAACTCAAGTTTAATGATGTATGGTTGTGGGGTCGATTCATATTTTCGACTCCTTGCAGTAATATTTATTGTACGACATAATATTTCATTCCTAAACAATAAGAATAATCAAACTATTTTATGACTCGTACTAAACAAATTATCACTTTGTTGTTTCCTCAGAACATACGTCGTCAAAGTATGTTCGCGCTTTGGGAAAATACTTTGTCTTTACTCATCATTTTTTAACTGAATATTTTGCAGTTATTTTAACATGACTCTGTACAGTGAAAGTTCGTACTGTATACCTTTATAACCATCTTGTTTGATCACTTATTACAATATTTCGTATTTAGCTCTGTGATGATCCAAAAGTTGAAACAACCTTAATCATTTAAACCCTGTGTATTGTCACATAATGCTATGGAATAGTCATTCTTCATTGAATTTTGTTAGGCGACTGCCGGTGAGATCAAGCTAATGAATATAGTCTTATGTTGAACCAAATGAGTTCATTTTCACCTCAGTCAGTCAGTAACAACATAAAACTTCGTACGTACGTACATCAGTTCGAGTTGCCACACCACATTAGCACAGAGATGCAGTGGCCGATTCAAATCCCGTAGTGGTAGAGGTAATAAGAGTATAAGCAGTAATCGGGGAAATTAGTGTTTGGAGATGTTACTTAAAGAGTATAATACAGTGAAATAAATTTGGGAAGAGAAAAAAAGAGACAAGGAGGAATAAGGAGATCAAAATTTGGGAGAACACAAAGAGTGGATGCACCTGCGCCATTGCAAACGATTTTGAGCCATGTCATTCAAGGTCTCTAACCATCGGTTGCTATCATCTCGCGGTCCCCAACCAGGTAGTCTACACCTACCAACATGACTCAGTCCACTTGTCAGTGACTTCATGGACTTGTGCCATGTTTTGGTCCGGCCGCCCCTAGCTTTCTTCCAACCTACTCCTATACCACTGAACGTCGCACGTCGAGGCAGTCGGTCGTTGGGCATTCGTAACACGTGTCCCAGCCATCTCAACTGATGAAGTTTCACTACTTCATCAATAGACTTGCCATCCTTACCTAGTACCCGTTTCCTAACGACTGCATTACTTACTCGATGGTCCCGGGATATACGAGCAACATTTCGAAGACACCTATGATCAAATACTAGTAGTCTACGAATATCCTCTACTCTTACCGGCCATGTTTCACTGCCATAAAGTAGGACGGGACGTACTGCTGCGCAGTAAACCCGTCCTTTGGTTGATAGACGGATATCTCGCCTACTCCATAAATGACGCAAGTTGGCAAAAGCTAGTCGAGCCTTCTGTATCCGTGCTGAGATTTCGTCACATACCAGACCACAAGGGCTGATGAGATTTCCAAGATAAGTGAAGTGATCGACACGCTCAATTACTTCACTCCCTATCATTAGTTCGGGTGTCGATGTAACCCAATCCTGAAGCAACATTTTGCATTTCGAGGGGGAGAATCGCATCCCGAACATGCTTGCATTGTTGCTTAGAGTGGTCAGAAGACTCTGCATTTTGTCAGCGTCTTCACCAAATAAAACTATGTCATCAGCATATTCTAAGTCAACAAGTGAACCTCCTGGTAGAAGTTCAACCCCTGTAAATTTAGATGAGGAAAGTGTTATTTCTAAAAATACGTCAATGACAAAGTTGAACAAGAATGGAGTGGGCAGCCCTGACGAACACCACTTGAGGTAATCAATTCTGATGACAGTTCACCATAAGCTCTCACGCTTTCTAGTTGTGTTCGAGTAGAGAGCTTGTTTAAGGTTAATATACTTCTTTGGTACTCCTTTCAGTGACAAACACTGACATAGAACCTTACGATCAACAGAGCCGAATGCCGCCTTAAAGTCGAGAAATACTACCGTTGTGGGGCGTCTGAACGTGTGTCTGTGTTCTAGAACCTGACGTAGTGTAAATATCTGATCTATACAACCACGTCCAGGTCGAAAACTAGCCTGATTTTCTCTAGTCTGCTCTTCACGAGCTTTGGTTTGGCGTCGAAGTATTATTGAAGCTAATATTTTAGACATTATATTAGTCAAACTGATTCCTCTGTGATTGTCACAAGAGGACTTTTGTCCTTTCTTGAAAACTGGCACAATCAGTGATTGAGACCAGTCAGATGGGATTACGTCCAGTTCCCAAATTCTACCTAAGACCTCAGTTAATCTCACTGCTAATACTGGACCACCATCCTTAAAAATCTCAGGAGTAAACCTGTCAGGGCCTGTTGCTCTACCTCGTTTCAGATTTCCTATAGCTTTTTCAACTTCATAAAGAGACGGAGGACCTACATTAACTTGCCATTCAGGTTGACTGGAGATCGTGGGAAACCGAAGTGTGGCTGAAGGCCAGTTGAACTGATCCCTGAAGTGTTCTGCCCATCGATCCAATCTCCTGGATTGAGATTGTATAATATGTCCATCTTTCTCTGAGAGTGTTTCGCTAAAAGTCGGTTTCCTTAACAAGTCTGAACAATTGTCTGCTATTACCTATTGCCACTGCCTTTTCCATCTCTCTAGCCTTCGCTACCCACCACTGTTCACGATCATTGCGTAGACTTCTTGTCAGCTTGCGCTTAAGCTGACTCCGCTCTTCATTATGTTCAGAGCCAGGTGGAATGAGTTTCCGAGAATCGATCAGTGCGATAGATGCTGCTGAGATCCAGTGTTGCTCCCTAACCTTACGGGTTACCGTACTAGCAGATATCACTGCTTTTTCCACAGCTTTTCGGATATCATTCCATGCTGCCTCGGGGTGGGCATCACTTACATGGATGCCTAACTGTTTTTTCTAGTTGTTCCTAAAATATACTCTTAGCTTGACTATCATTAAGTAGGACCCTAAAAGGTTTCCTTGTAGCGTCTTTCTTACGTCCAATAAGACGCGGACAGATACGCGCTCGTACTAGAGCATGGTCTGAATTTAAGCATGTGCTTCAAAATGAGCGACAGTCTTCTATCGAGCCCCTCCATCGGTGGCTAATAGCGATGTGATCTATTTGGGTCCAACGTTGGGACAAATTACGGGGTCCCCATGTTAAAAGATGTTTTTCCTTATGCTTAAAGTTAGTATTTGCAAGGAACAGGCGGTTATCTGAGCATGGCTGCAACAGACGGTCGCCATTATCTGTTCTTTAAGTCACGATGCTATAAGATCTACCCAAGTGTCTTTCCCTATCGCTTAGTTTACCTACTTGAGCATTAAAGTCACCGGCCACTATTAGTACATCAGAGCGCCTAGCTTTTAGGAGAGCTTTCTGTAAAACTCATCTTTTACATCACCTGCGCTGCAGTCAGTGAGAGAATAGGCACAGACGACAAAGAGGCAACGACGGGTGTCTCTATCTTTTCGGATTTTTACTGTTCCATTCAGTCGGACAGCGCACAAACGACTGTCTACTGGGATCCACTCTAAGAGAGCTAGTTCTGCCCTAGGACTCAATGCTATATCTACGCCGGCGAGGCCACGGGAAGCAGAATCAGGGCTACCAGATACACGAAGCGTGAATCGAGTTGGTTCTTTATTTTGGCATGGTGAGGTCAGATGAATGACGCTACCCGGATCTTGTATGCGCGTTTCGAAGACGCAGCACACGTCGATGGCGCGGGATTCTAAAGTCCTAGCTAAGGAAGCCTGCTGTCTTATTTGGCACAGTGTTCGGACGTTAAAAGCTCCTACGTGTAGTTTAGAGTGTGGTTTCAGGAGACCAGGAATAGCGTTCCACGTACTCGAATCGTTTGCCCTAGCGGTGCGATGTGATAAAGAGACGTGAGGAGGGTTAGTCATGGAGATAAGAGAGGTATTAAGAGGTGTAGGAAGGATTTGAATGTGACCAACTTGGTCTCGTGTGCTGTTACGGGTATGAGGGCTGATATCACTTCCTGGCTGCCCACACCGTGGAAAGGTATTTCTTGAGGAATCTGACAAGGAAATTGGATTAGTGTTGGTCTTAACGACCTGGGAGCGTGACCGCAGAGCTCAAGGGACAACTGCTTGAGGCCGGTCGCGCACGGCCCTTTTGTGGAAGGTTTTTAATGAGTTAGCTCCGTTCTTCAAAGGGCCTTATCGCTGGAGACGGAAATCTGTGAGGTAAGGTGAGGTGTGCCCTATAGTTTCTGAGTCGGGAGATTTCTAGAAATCAGTAAATACCCTAACACAGACCCAATCCAAACCAATTAAATTATGAAGAGCTATACAATCAATAATCAAACCATAGGGAAGGACCATCTAGAAAATGCAGACTGTGCTATCAACGGCAAGAACCGTTAGTCCTCTCTTGAAAAGATTGTAATAAGTCACTTCTCATAAAGCTTGTTTTGACATTATCCAGAAATAATGAAAACCGCACAACAGAACTACGGCTTGGAGAATGAATATCTTTCATATGACAAGTCAATGCTATTAAGAGAGAATGCAAATAGGTTTGCATCTCAAGAATCGAGCTAATGGATAAAATGTTGGAAGTGTTATAACTGTGGGCACTGACTTTCAACCGAGTGGATGCTATTGATCCCGCAAAGACCATGCCTACACTTGTGCTGACCACGCAGCTTGATGCTATGGAAGAAAATGGTGACGTCAAAAATGTTTTTGTATAATGCATTCGTAATTTCCATAGATTTTTGGTGGATATTCCTTAGTCCATGTACTCAGTTTTCTGCACCGAGTAAAAGGCAGTTCTAATGCCAAGTGACAATTATTTATAACTCGAGGCACGATATATGTGCCAGTATTAAATATTTTAAACGCAACTTATAGCCTTCAGATATTTCACGCATTAGGTAGACCCTTCTACGATGGCACCAAACTATTGAGTTGAATGTTTTCAATCTTATCTGTTGGTTACATAAAGTGAGCTATGTGTATAGTACCTCGGTTTTCTTGTAATACCATTCAAAAGAAGAAAGATGGTTTGGAAATAATCTGCTTTATGAAATTTACAAGTACATTTTAATGAGATCCCGCTAACTGGATTTATAATCATCTGATTCATATTTGTCCTCATCAAATTTGATATCCGATAGTTCCTTCACAATTAACTTATTCAGACTGTTTAGATGAAATTCCTCGTCAGCGTTAATATTACCTGACTCAACTGGTTTTTTATTGGACTGGGTCAAACGAAGAAGAGCACCTAGAGAAAGTTCACATGTTTCAAAAATATAAATTACTTCTCATTCTGTTGAAAATATTGTAACTAGTAAAGAACAGTCGTCAGACGAATAAGCATCTCAACAGTCATTAGATTAAATCCGTGACATATTTAGTTGGGAGAGACACACCTATCTGAAAGTAGGATTATTTGTCCTAAAATTTTTAAAGTGGTGGAACTGATTTATTGGTTGGACCAGCTTCTAAAATATCTTCAGGCAAATTAAAATACTAGAAATAGAAAATATAGACTGCAATAATTGTTATAATCTACACATAATGAAATGTATAATAATTTACGTTACCTCGATTACTTAAAAAACCCACTATGTTGCAGGTAACAAATGACGTCAGTCACAAAACCCAGTAATTATCGTCAGCTCCATGATGAAGCTTTAATCCGGAGATTTCCACATGGTTGCAGATGTATTTGCTAGTGTCAGTCAGTCATCTACAACGTACGACGACGCACGTATATGCATCGGCCCAAGTTCCCATACCTCATTAATCTCACGTTTTAAGGGAAAACGAAGGGTGTATACACCTGCGCCATTGTGATCTATTCTGAGCCATATCACCCAGTCTCCAACCACTGATTACGATAATCGCATGGACTCAAACCAAGTAGTCTGCATCTAACAACATGGCTCAGACCAGAAGTTAGTGACTTTATAAACTGATGTCACGTTCTGGTTTGGCCGCTCCTAACTTTCTTCCTACCATCTTCAACACGCGTCGTGGTAATCAGTGTTCAGGCATACGTAACACGTGGCCCAATCATCTCAGTTGATTTGCAATCTCACTAACTGATTTACCATCATCCCCTAATACCCTGAGTCTAACCTCGCCATTACTTACCCGGTGATCCCAGCAGATCCAAGCAATATTTCTAAGATGAATGTAATCAACTACTAGTAATTTACGAGTATCCTCTAACCTTAATGACCTCGTTTCGCAACCATAAAGTAGAACAGAACGAACTGCTGCGTAGTATACTCGTCCCTTAATTGATAGACGGATATCTCGCCTTCGCAATAGGTGACGTAAGTTGGCAAAAGCCAAACGATTTTTTCGAGTCCGTATAAAAATTTCGTCAGACACCAACCCATTAGGGTTGATCAAACTTCCAAGGTAAGTGAAGTTGTCGACGCATTCGACTACTTCACTCCCTATCCTTAGCTCAGGTGTTGACACAGGCCAGTCCTGAAGCAACAATTTGCATTTAGAAGAGGGGAAACACACCCTAAACCCCCTGACATTGTTTCCCAATGCTATCAAAAGGTTCTGCATTTTATCAGCGTATTCACCAAACAGGACTACATCATCTGCGTATCCTAAGTCTTTAAGTGCACCTCCTGGTAGGAGATCAATTCCGGAAAATTCAGTCGACGACAACGTTATTCCCAGCAGTAGGTCTATGATGAAAGTGACCGAGAATGGAAATAAGGGAAGCCTTGCCAGATACCGCTGGAGGTTGCGGAATTAGATAACACACTTCGCCATAAGCACTGACTCGACTGGTAATGTTCGAGTAAAGAGCCTTCACAAGGTTTATGTACTTTTGAGGTATGTCTTCCAATGCCAGACTGCCATAGAATCTTCCGGCCAACAGAGTCAAATACTGCTTTCAAGTCAAGAAAAACCATAACTGTCGGACGAATAGTGAATATGTAGTCGATGCAGCCACTACCAGGTCTGAAGCCGACCTGGTTTTCGCGTATTTACAGTTCATGAGTCTTTGTTAAACGTCCGATAATTAATGAGGCCAGTATTTTGGATGCCATATTAGTCAAGGTAATCCCTCTATGGTTATCATAGGATGATTTTGATCCTTTCTTATACATTAGGACGATCAGTGATTGCGTTGGATGGGATTACGTCCAGTTCCCAGATTTTAGGTGAAATACTAGTCAACCTAATCGCTTAAGCTGTACCACCATGCTTAAAGACTTCTGGAGATAATTCATCTAGACCAGCTGCTCTTTCTTGTCTCAGACTAGCTATAGCTTTTCGGATTTCAATTAGACTTAGGAGTCTATTTCGATGTTCCGTTCAGGCTGTTTGGAAATGGTTCTAGTGACTATCCACGTGTCTAGATACTCTTGAGAATATCGTGTAAAGATATTGTATATCGTTCGCAAAAATCACTGGAATCACTATTTCCCGTTCGAGAGAATAAATATGTTACTTGTACTTTATTATAAACAAAACACATGGTCCAAAAGCAGGTTGTAGGAAATTAACTGGGAAGCTTTGTTACGATTACCGTTTTCGCAAGAATTTAGTAACGAATAGCACATATAAAACCCAACGCTCAAATAAGAACGTCCTGGTACATCTAAAAAATAACTTACGGCGTTCTCTCTCACGAACATTTTTCAAAGCATCAATAAACTGTTGGTTAATATCTTCTTGATTTTCTGTAGCACTAAAAAAGGGAAAGGAATAAGTTACCTATTGCAGATTATTTATGCCGTATTGTAGTTGACGTTCCTTGCTGATTGATTATACTAACAGCTCAGTAATTTTTAATAAATCTCTCTTAAGGAATGTTATGCCACATAAACCAAATAACTAAAGTATTGCCAACATCGAAGACATTGTCTCCTGACACAAACAACGAATTTACACTTATATCAACAGTAACTAAAACAACGTGCGAAAAATAGTTTTAACGCTGAATCTGTCTTACATAACAATTTATTGCTTAGTTTTGAAGGTGTGTTCGATGCACTTTTCTAGACTACACTTCTGCTCCTGTTCTAAGACCTTGTCAAACAAGCTTGCTGCGATGAAACATCAAGTTCTATAAGCCATTCCATAAGCAACGTACAACCAGACACATCGATTCAAGTCCGCACACTGAGCAAGCAAAACAATATGAAATTATTATCAGTAACAGTTAAAAAGTTCTGCATAACATGACTTGCCACCTCTCACTAAAGACACATGTAAAATGCGTGTATGATTTTACTGTATGTACGAAGTTCTTCCTGTAATGATTGCTTTGAAATTAATACGTTTCCAGTAAACATGAAATAATAGCTTCTCCTTAATATTATGACTGTCGACCCCCTTAACTGTCAAAACGTTGTGTTCGAGACCTGAATACAAAAGAGAGAGAGGTCCTAGAGCCAGACGGCTCTCTTATAAAGACTTACATTTACTATTGTTAGCTTTATTTATTATTTCTTCTAGTCTTCTTATACTTTGCTGATATTAAGAAAAACTCCCTACTTAATTTATTTTGTCAAGAGGCACTAGTGAGTACTAAATTTCGAGATTTATCAGTTCCTATAAATCACTTCTGTACTTCTGCAATCTTTTCCTGTACTTTCCCGGAATTTTAAAAGCAACTTCTTTGTCACTAGTGACCTTGAATGGTGCTATTGAGGTTATTTTTGAGCCTTCAAACTAAAACGAATATGGTTGTATGCAGACAATTGCAATTTACCCATCATTTTTGTGTCTATTGTATCAATTATAAGTTATTCAGTATAGTCAAAAAACGTTTTCTTTGCATGTCTTTTAAAACAAGATACAAGTACATTAGTGTCCATGCAAATGATCATGGTGAATGAATACTTTAAAGATGCTGAGCGTGTTCAGCAATCAAAGTTATTTCTAATTTTTATCACTTTTTTTGATACCTTGTTCTTAGCGCTGTAAGGAGGATTTGTTAACCGTAATAAGAGTATTATTTTGGTGAACTGTTCCTTACAGGGGACATTCATATCACTTTCAACCACCAGTGATCATAAATACTATGCTTAATTAAGGGAACTACTTACCCGAAGGTAATCGATTCATCCGATTTTCCACACTTAGAGCAGATTTTCAAAGCACTTGAACAATCTGTACAGATTGTATGGTAGGCTTGCTTTACAGTCTTCCCGTTACACTTCACACTATCAGGATAGAAAAGAAATAACGATACAGTGAAATTAATTCCCAATTTTCGGTGAATAAAGACGGCTTCCTTTAACTATTCAATCAAGCAATTACATTATTGAAAACAACAATAAGACTACTAGTAATCCAAACAATAGGTTTCAAACAGAGAAGTTTGGCGAAGTTAGTTTTGATGTATTTAAAATTTAATTTTATAAAGTACGACAATCATTCACATTAAAAATCTCTACCATCACATAAAGTAACATTGGTTAACCCTCGTTAGAACTAATCTGTTCTCTTATTTCTATCCAGTTTTTTGTGTGGAAACGCTCCCAAAAGTAACACAAGCACCATGAATTGACCGATTGCCAAAGTATTATTTTACCAACCTAGAATGTACGAGGTGGTTTAGACTGAGGAAGATGATAAATACAGTGAGTAGTTGCGTAACTAAGTATGTAGTTCTATGGTTTTTACTTCAAATTGTATCCTTTGCTTAGGGGCTAGTGATTCTATTCGACTATCTGAACCGAAATAAGAGGATTAGAATTTTCTTTGCAGCCTGAAAGTCCAAAGCCAAGTTGTAATCAATGAGTTTTCATCGAATGAGGTAGCTGATATTGTTGTCGATGCCCACAAACAGGGTTAGTTTTGGTGTATTGTCCTTTGGTTCCTCACAATTATAAATAACATTATCTTTGGATCCATATATTCCCTTTAATCGTACTGATACGAAATGCAAAACATACGATACATATGCGCTTAGTCTTATACTATTGGTATACCTGAGGTCAACAGGCACGGAACACTAGAAATCTTGACAGGTTTCATATGTAGGTTATCGGTGTATTAATAAATCCCCTGCTAAAAAATAAGCGTAGTTACAGGCACTTACCTATATCCATATTTTTTTATCTGAGGGCACCACCTGCTTTTATTGTTCATGAAGCCTTATAGCAGTGCAAAACAATTTATTGTCAAACCAAACTCCACACTATTAATCACAGTAAATTTTCTGAATAGCTTTTCTCATAAATTCTCAAATTCCTCTTCATAAACCATCATTATGCACTTCTCAAGACAGCATGATTTTTCGCAAACTCCTGACTTATAGGTTCATTGCCTCAAATATCCTGACGAGTCTTATTAGGTTAGTGACCTAAAAGAATGATGTGTTCTGAGAGACGCACTTAGTAAGTTGCCAATATGAAAGTAGTCAGATTTACCAGAAAGTAACTTAAAACTGGATATTTCATCTGAAGAACCACCAACTATTCCAAATAACGCCTCAAGAGATCCAATTTTATATGAGAGAACCTAACTGCATAGAGTACACCAAAACTGAAAATAAAACTAGTTAGGGAAAATAACTGACTTTACTACTGTATACAAAACTTTCGCACTAGAACTAGATATCAATCGACTAAAAAACTGAAGCAACCAATTATTTATAATTATACTGTACCTAATTAGTCTTTCCATTTGATAAATTTGGAGAACCATTTAAAGAAGATAGTATGTAAGATGCAAACTTCATCGTACTATGATTAGTGATATTCTATTTGAACGAGTCATGAGCTTCCTGAGCTTTGAGCTGTTCTAATTTTATCAGATACATCTTATCTGATGAACACGTTTTTAACAGTTGACTGAATAAAGTTCTGTAGAAAAGCATTTGCAACAGTGAAAAATACTCTTCCCAGATGTAAAATAAAAATACGAAAAGCAAATCAGTACATGCAGAGTAAGTATTCAGACTCAAAAGAAATAATTGTACGTAATAAATTTACCTTGACGGTGAACCTTAGAATACGAGGATATGAATGAGAATAAATAACTGGGGCAAATGAAAACTAATATTAGTGTGTTTATCATAAGGGAAACGATTTTTGAAGTTACAATTTCAAAAATCGGTTTACATGTAAGCATATTTATAAATACGAATTACAAAAAATTTCCTGATACTCAATAATGAACAGAGTAACTTAACGTGATATAAAGGATGGTTTTTTGGAAGTTTTCCTTCTGATAAACAACGTTATCAGGCAACGATATACCGTTTATATATAAAAATGTTAGCCAGCTTACCAAACTCTAGGGTTTGCTAATTGATGATACTTTTTGTATTTGACTCTCCATTGCACAACACCTGTACATCTAGGACACAAAAAGTCGAACGTCAGATTGTTGAGACGTTTGACTTCTTTAGACGTATCATGCAAGTTGTTTTTAAAAGCCTTAGTATTCTTATATTTCTGAGGTCTTGTGCGCTGAGTGTTACCTTTCTGTGAACTCATATCCTATCAGACGGAGAAATTGGCCAAAATCCTGGAAGAAAGTTTGACGCGATCCGGAAGACTGAGATACAAGGAATAAAATTGCTTGGCCTCCAAACTGTATAGCGCTCTCCTTCACACGACCTTGTGCGCTTTCAGTTTGGACAGAACATGAGGTCAGCTAGGAAGAAAACGGTAGTTTATTCGACATTCTGGAAGAAATGCATAAAGTCTAGTGATTTTAAACGAAGGCTTTACGAACTGAAAATGATTTGCATCTCTATCACATGTGCTCTAGTACAACATGTGAAAGAAGCGACAAGGTACGATCCGGACACTGAATCATCCTTATTAGATCTTATACTGACTCACTATGAGGATGATGTTGCGAACCTCCAACATATGCCACCCTTAGGTAAAAGTGACCACGCAATTTTAACTTTCGACTTCCATATAACTGTCAGTCATGAGGACGCATCAGTCCAGTCCAGACCCAACGTCTGGAAAGCAAACATACCAGCCATCATGCACTCAGCATCGTTAATAGATTAGACAATAGACCCAGAGTCCTCCATTGAAACGGCCTGGGACGCATTTCGAAATTCATACTTAAAAGTTACCACACCTCACATCCCTTGGACTATACCAAAGGGACCGAAAAACTCTCCACCATGGTTCAGTAGGGAGGTCCGTATTCTTCTCCGTAAGAAAAGGAAGATGTGGGATAGATTTAGGTTACTGGGGACTTATGAGGCAAAATCTCAGTATCGAAAGGCTCGGAACACTTGTGCCTCGACCCTCCGTAAGTCTAGAAAATTGTACGAAGAAAAACTTGTAAAGGAATCCATGGAATGTCCTAAACGCTTGTATTCCTATATAAACCAAAGGACAAGGAGAAAAGGAAATATTCCTGCTCTATGGGGAGACAGTACTGCTTCATCATTAGTGGAGGACGACTTTGGTAAGGCTCAAGCGTTCTCGAACTACTTTAGCAACGTGTATACCATAGAAGCGCCCTTCTCGTCAGCGTATACAGATCCCCCCCACACATAAACTGGATAGCGTGACCATTAAAGAACTCGATGTCTTTGGTCTGCTAAATAAGCTTGATATAGGTAAATCCACGGGGCCCGATGAATTACATCCTAGGCTACTAAAGGAATTATCTAACTTCGTTGCAAGCCCTTTAAGTACATGCTTTAACCTATCCGTTACGCAGGGTCGCTTACCGAAAGATTGGAAAAACGCCATAGTAAGTCCTGTCTTTAAAACAGGTACGAAACACAAACCTGAAAACTACCGCCCCGTTAGCCTAACTAGTGTGGTTGTTAAAATATTAGAAAAGATTATTAGGGAAGAGCTGTTTAAGTATCTCGATAAAAACCGGATCCTCTCGGAGAAGCAGCACGGCTTCAGAATAGGTTATTCTTGTCTCACTAACTTATTAGTGGCTCGTGAAAGCTGGTGCGCTCTTAAGGACCAAAAGCTACCTGTAGACGTCGCCTTCATTGATTTCAGTAAAGCTTTTGATAAAGTTTCGCACAACCGGCTGTTATATAAGTTAAGAAAAGTCGGGATTGGAGGCAATTTATTGATGTGGATAGAAGACTTCTTAGTTGGGCGTCAACAAAGAGTTCGGGTGAACTCAAAGTTATCTAGCTGGGAAACTGTGCTTAGTGGAGTGCCCCAGGGTACAGTTTTGGGGCCAGTGCTATTCCTCTTGTATGTAAATGACCTTCCTTGTCTCCTATCATCATCGGTCTTGCTATATGCTGACGATGTCAAGATATGGAAAGCGATACGATGTAAGAGTGATAGCTTAGAACTTCAAAATGACCTGAAGAAGTTATCTGAATGGTCTCAAACATGGCAGTTGCCGATAAATACTTCCAAGTGTGTTGTGATGCATATCGGTCATCAAGGCACAAATACATACATGATGGATAACACTGAGCTACCTGTCGTCCAGACATATAATGACTTAGGCGTTATCGTTAGTCAAGACTTAAAGACTACTGCACACTGCCGTGCAATAGTCGCCAAAAGTTTTAGATCGTTATGGTCAATACGTAGGGCTTTTAGTCATGTCGACGCTAAGACGTTTTTGACTTTGTATACAGTGTTCGTCCGTCCTAAACTTGAGTACTGCATACAAGCGGCTAGCCCCTGCTTAAAAAAAGACAGTGAGCTTCTGGAAAAGGTTCAGAGAACGGCGACTAAGCTGGTTCCCGGAATAGCAAAGCTTCCGTATGAATCTCGACTGGCCAAGCTGAACCTTTTCCCGTTATCTTATCGCAGAACTAGAGGTGACTTGATTACAGTCTACAAATTGCTTAGTGATAAATTTGCACCTAACATGCCCTCATTTTTCTTGTCTTCCAAAACAGAGAATTTACGAGGACACTACAAAAAGGTTCACAAGCCGAGAACAAATTACTTGTCAGCTGACTATCGACTTTCCCATCGAATAATCAACGAGTGGAATTCACTACCTCAGCACGTGGTTGAGGCTCCATCCGTCGACTCTTTCAAAAGAAAGTTGGATCAACTGAGAGACCACCATTGCCAGGACTAACATAGGCCGTCGAGCCTCCTGTCCTTCCCAAACTGAAACTGAAACTGAAACTATCTTTTGCTGTGTTCTTACGCAACAACAGTATCATTTTCGATCCAAAGAATATTTATTGTGATTCATGTTTAATAGATTATTTTTTTCTCTGAGTTTTACCTAAGTTAATAGTTGGCTGTGGTTTTGCATCAGCCTGCTGTTAGTCTCCACATACAGCTATTATCATCTCTACTTTCGGCTAACCTGATTAGCTCATCCCAACACGAGTTTATGACTAGACTCTCGTGCTTCACATTGCACCTGCCTTTTTTTGATAAAATTACTCAGTGAAGAGATGTTGTTCGGTCAGTGATAATTCTGTACATCGATTTCAGCAAGGCTTTCGACAGTGCCTTACACAAAATTCTTCTTTTAAAACGTTCTTCATTTAGCCTATTGAATCCCCTCTCATCTTGGCTCAAATCTTTTTTAACAGAACGTAGCCAAATCGTCCGTTTTGGATCTTGCTACTCTAAATCTGTGAAATTTAACCAGTGGGATTAAGCAAGGAAGTGTGATTGGCCCATCATTCTTTCTCCTTTTGTTCAATGATGTATGTTCCCTCTTTCATTATCGTAAGCCTGTAGTGGCATTTGGCCCTAACCACACAATCCTCTAAGCTGAACACGAGACACTTAGGAAAATAGATGTTCAACATTTAACGTGGAGAAAAACCCAACGTTTGAGAAAGTGGGGACAATGAATGAATTGAATTAGTTCAAATCCATGGGTTGGCATGGCTCGGCCTTGCAGGCGCGGTCATTATTGAGTGTTAACACATACATCTCATTCATATTGAATATATTGTTCTATCTCTAGCCTAAATGTGTTCATCATATATTGATGATTGTTACAACGCGATGAGTTGGTGTAGTTAATAATGTGACATCCACGTAAGATCTTATAGATCAGGCAGTTACATTATGACAAATCTAGAATTCAGGGATTAAGTCTATTATTAGAGCGGTGCTATATCATAATAGATAATAATCCAACATGCCTTTCCTTTTTACCGATGACCTAACAGTGGTTTATTCGTCTTCTCCTCCCACTAATTAAAACTATATTTCAGCGAAAATCCAAGAAGAATGGACTGTTTCGTGGAATCCACCACTTAATGTTGACAAAAGTGGATTTATTCACATTGGCCGCTGCCTTGACCTAAATCTGAATATACACAAACATACACTGAAAATTCTCAACAGTGTTCGTGACTTAGGTTTGAAATATAGCGATAATTTGAACTTTTCCGAGCACATTGCATCTTAAGTATCCAAACCCAGAAAGCCCATTGATTTCGAAATGATAAACTTCAATAGTGTCGAATCGAGATTATTATTATTATACAGAAAATGTGTATTACCCATTCTTGAATATAGTATTTTTGTTTACAGTAATTGCAGGCATAATGACCTGATTGAAAGTGAAGGTGTACAAAGAAGGTTCAATAAAGCTGTTTTGGGGTATTCCGACACCAATTCTAGTCAGAACCTCTCTGGATCAAGTGTATCAAACTGAACTTTGTCCTTATCTATCCGCTTATAAACGATATTACATATTCTTCGGCATCCATCCCTCCGTACTCTGTGATATCATACCACAAACTACGCTGTAAGGAAACCATTCTAGTGATTCAGAGAACTTGCATAAACTTACGCCAGATTTTTTTCGTTATTCGCCACCCAACCATGCGGAACAGACTGCCAGTGAACCTCTGTTGCAGCGGAACCATAACCAGGTTCAGAAGTCTCCTTGGTAGTTTTTTTTTTAGAAAAGTTGATTATTTCACCTACTGAACATAAATATGTTCAACAATCATTTCTATAAACAAGATCCGTCATCTAATTGACTGAAAAGCAGAGTGTAACCTTTGAAACATTTCTCGTTTATTGTATTTTGTTTCCCTCCTATTCATCTTAGTAGATGAAGTCTGTTTATGTTCATATTTATAATGAATACTGCCATTGTCATCATGATTGGTTTCTCAACACATTAAATATCCTTTTCGTCTCTTATTTTCGTCCAGAACATCCAAAGGATGTGACTAAAAACAAATTATCTCATGTTACACCTAAATAAATTAACTTCTCAGACTCATTTTATCTTATGGTGACGTATATTCAGTGGTATCTGTAACGACAAAATAAAAACCGCATTTTTTCTCTAATTCGTCACACTTTATATGTAACCACATTTTTATTCAATATCTATTGTTGTCCCGTGTCACTTGTTAAGAAAGTATCTTATTTGTTTGGACTTATATCCGAATATACTACCGCGCTGGTTAAAAAAATATAAAAAGCTATTTCCGCCGTCTGTTCTTCTGCTTCATTGGCCACGGCCTTTGATTGAAGACTATAATAGTGTTATAATCTCCTTTTGGGCCTTCCTACACTACTTTTTATTTTGGCACGGATTGTTATTAAATAATACCATTGGATTCAATCTTTCTCATTACGCCGTCGGTGCCACCACGTGCAAAGGTGTCTTCGTTAATC